GCTGTTTGGAAGCCGTCGTAGTCCTTTTCAACAGGACCTTAGAGCTTACTGAGAAACTCGAGGAAGTGACGAGCGATTCAGACACAACGGCACTTTGCCCCGTAGAAGAATTCGAGGAACTGCTGGAAGACCTGGGGGCGAAGCTTGCAGAGCTGGAGTCCTACGAGTCCGTGATACGTGAACTACCTCCGGTGGCGAGAAGGAGGAAGAGAGTCGCAGGAATGGATATCCTGCTTCAGCTTCAGGCGTTTCATCGACAGGCAATTGAGATAAGAATAGTCATCATTGTGGTCATTGAAACTGTTGTAGAGAAATTTGCCGAGATAGAAATGGAGGAGAATACAGAAACCTCTGAAATCATGCCTCCTCCTTTGCCAACAACTACTACTACTCATACCACATATGAAGGTAAATGCACATATAATAAACCATGGCATCATTGCAAAACTGAAATATTTTGACTATATTTTGAATAATACAGCAGAATATGAATTATATGCTCACATCTAAGTATGTGAAAAAATATGAGGATGTACAATTTGCCTTCAGATATGTTTTTTCTTATTCTTATTCGTATATAATGTCAAATCAACTGAAAAAGGGAGAGGACATGAAGTGCATATAGTAAATTGTGACGGACACACATACACATACGCACACACACACACATACATACATACACACACATATATATAAGTATATATATTTAGACTTAGATTTATATATATGTATTTATATATATTTTTTTATCATGTTTCAGTCACGGATGATGAATGTCGTGAAGATATCTTCTTAGTATGGGCCTCCATCAACCAGTCCCTGAGTGATGGTGGCGAGTTATTGCTGAAGGCTCGTGAGATTCTGTTGGGATCTAATCTTGAGAGTCTTGGGGAGCTGGAAACGAGCCTTCTTACTGTTGGCGGAGAACTTGAAATCCTTTTCAATGAGACTTTGGAACTGGCCAAAGAAGTTGAAATGTTGGTGATGGGTGGGAGTGAGACAGCCCCCTGTCCTGTCCAATACCTGAAAGCGCTGCTACTTGAGCTGGAAACCAAAACTGAAGAATTCCGTGTCCTTGTGATTGAGCTGGAGGCGCAGGTTTCAGAAGGTTCATCAGATGAATCTAGTGTGCTGGTGATCTTCATAATGCGAGTTTATATGACCTGTAGGACCGCGCAGGACGAGTCTATCGTAATCTTCGAAAAAGTCTACATTATGTTGTACGGTGAAATGACAACAGTAATAACGACCACTTTATCCGGAGGGACAAGTAAGTATCGTCCGGTCACCGTCTTCAGTTTGAAAATGTGTTCTCTTATATTGAGGCCATATGACACTAGCTCTTTTTTCCGTCAAATTTTGCGTATACATACATTCAGTTAATTCGGAAACACAAAAATTGACGGAAAAAGATCTGATAGGGCCTTTAGGCTTTGTCAAATGTACATTTTTGAATGGATATTAGCCAGAAAAATATTCAATATAAGAAAATGGAAATTATTTTATACAAGAAAATGAATTTGTATTGCCTTAATACAAGAACGAATCAAGAAAATATCCTTTTCATCTACCATTGACTTATTTTTTCCATTGCAAGTTCCACTATGGAGTATCAAAGAAAAAAGAATCTTATACATAATGCATATATGTATATATATACAGTTTTATTTACCTATATATATTATACACACATGTATTTATATATACACACATACATACATATATTCAAGCATATACACACACACGCCCACTATATATATATGGGTGTGCATGTGTGTGTTTGTATGTAAATACATATATACATATATATTTACACATATACATATATATGCATATATACATATACACACATATATATATATTATATATTAATATTATATATATATATATATATATATATAATATATATACATATACACGTGTGTGTGTGTCAGATCGATAGAGAGAGAGAACATGGTGTATTTGGTAAATTGCAGTGACCTTTGATATAACATTTTATCCTGTTTCAGTTGCAGATGAAAAGTGTCGTGAAGACATCTTCTTAGTATGGGCCTCCATCAACCAGTCCCTGAGTGATGGTGGCGAGTTATTGCTGAAGGCTCGTGAGATTCTGTTGGGATCTAATCTTGAGAGTCTTGGGGAGCTGGAAACGAGCCTTCTTACTGTTGGCGGAGAACTTGAAATCCTTTTCAATGAGACTTTGGAACTGGCCAAAGAAGTTGAAATGTTGGTGATGGGTGGGAGTGAGACAGCCCCCTGTCCTGTCCAATACCTGAAAGCGCTGCTACTTGAGCTGGAAACCAAAACTGAAGAATTCCGTGTCCTTGTGATTGAGCTGGAGGCGCAGGTTTCAGAAGGTTCATCAGATGAATCTAGTGTGCTGGTGATCTTCATAATGCGAGTTTATATGACCTGTAGGACCGCGCAGGACGAGTCTATCGTAATCTTCGAAAAAGTCTACATTATGTTGTACGGTGAAATGACAACAGTAATAAACGACCACTTTATCCGGAGGGACAAGTAAGTATCGTCCGGTCACCGTCTTCAGTTTGAAAATGTGTTCTCTTATATTGAGGCCATATGACACTAGCTCTTTTTTCCGTCAAATTTTGCGTATACATACATTCAGTTAATTCGGAAACACAAAAATTGACGGAAAAAGATCTGATAGGGCCTTTAGGCTTTGTCAAATGTACATTTTTGAATGGATATTAGCCAGAAAAATATTCAATATAAGAAAATGGAAATTATTTTATACAAGAAAATGAATTTGTATTGCCTTAATACAAGAACGAATCAAGAAAATATCCTTTTCATCTACCATTGACTTATTTTTTCCATTGCAAGTTCCACTATGGAGTATCAAAGAAAAAAGAATCTTATACATAATGCATATATGTATATATATACAGTTTATATTTACCTATATATATTATACACACATGTATTTATATATACACACATACATACATATATTCAAGCATATACACACACACGCCCACTATATATATATGGGTGTGCATGTGTGTGTTTGTATGTAAATACATATATACATATATATTTACACATATACATATATATGCATATATACATATACACACACATATATATATTATATATATATATTATATATATATATATATATATATATATCATATATATATATGCATATATACATACACACGTGTGTGTGTCAGATCGATAGAGAGAGAGAACATGGTGTATTTGGTAAATTGCAGTGACCTTTGATATAACATTTTATCCTGTTTCAGTTGCAGATGAAAAGTGTCGTGAAGACATCTTCTTAGTATGGGCCTCCATCAACCAGTCCCTGAGTGATGGTGGCGAGTTATTGCTGAAGGCTCGTGAGATTCTGTTGGGATCTAATCTTGAGAGTCTTGGGGAGCTGGAAACGAGCCTTCTTACTGTTGGCGGAGAACTTGAAATCCTTTTCAATGAGACTTTGGAACTGGCCAAAGAAGTTGAAATGTTGGTGATGGGTGGGAGTGAGACAGCCCCCTGTCCTGTCCAATACCTGAAAGCGCTGCTACTTGAGCTGGAAACCAAAACTGAAGAATTCCGTGTCCTTGTGATTGAGCTGGAGGCGCATGTTTCAGAAGGTTCATCAGATGAATCTAGTGTGCTGGTGATCTTCATAATGCGAGTTTATATGACCTGTAGGACCGCGCAGGACGAGTCTATCGTAATCTTCGAAAAAGTCTACATTATGTTGTACGGTGAAATGACAACAGTAATAACGACCACTTTATCCGGAGGGACAAGTAAGTATCGTCCGGTCACCGTCTTCAGTTTGAAAATGTGTTCTCTTATATTGAGGCCATATGACACTAGCTCTTTTTTCCGTCAAATTTTGCGTATACATACATTCAGTTAATTCGGAAACACAAATTGACGGAAAAAGATCTGATAGGGCCTTTAGGCTTTGTCAAATGTACATTTTTGAATGGATATTAGCCAGAAAAATATTCAAGAAAATGGAAATTATTTTATACAAGAAAATGAATTTGTATTGCTTTAATACAAGAACGAATCAAGAAAATATCCTTTTCATCTACCATTGACTTATTTTTTCCATTGCAAGTTCCACTATGGAGTATCAAAGAAAAAAGAATCTTATACATAATGCATATATGTATATATATACAGTTTATATTTACCTATATATATTATACACACATGTATTTATATATACACACATACATACATATATTCAAGCATATATACACACACGCCCACTATATATATGGGTGTGCATGTGTGTTTTTGTATGTAAATACATATATACATATATACATATACATAATATATATATATATATATATATATATATATATATATATATATTATATATATATATACATATCATGTAGCAAATATATATATGCATATATACATACACACGCGTGTGTGTCAGATCGATAGAGAGAGAACATGGTGTATTTGGTAAATTGCAGTGACCTCTGATATAACATTTTATCCTGTTTCAGTTGCAGATGAAAAGTGTCGTGAAGATATCTTCTTAGTATGGGCCTCCATCAACCAGTCCCTGAGTGATGGTGGCGAGTTATTGCTGAAGGCTCGTGAGATTCTGTTGGGATCTAATCTTGAGAGTCTTGGAGAGCTGGAAACGAGCCTTCTTACTGTTGGCGGAGAACTTGAAATCCTTTTCAATGAGACTTTGGAACTGGCCAAAGAAGTTGAAATGTTGGTGATGGGTGGGAGTGAGACAGCCCCCTGTCCTGTCCAATACCTGAAAGCGCTGCTACTTGAGCTGGAAACCAAAACTGAAGAATTCCGTGTCATTGTGATTGAGCTGGAGGCGCATGTTTCAGAAGGTTCATCAGATGAATCTAGTGTGCTGGTGATCTTCATAATGCGAGTTTATACGACCTGTAGGACTGCGCAGGACGAGTCTATCGTAATCTATGAAAGCGTCCTAATAATATTCAGCAGCACAATTTCAGGTGAGACATATAGCTTATCTGGAGATACAAATATATATTATTGTTTTCTCTAAACAGAAGATTTTCTATGAAACATAGATGGACATGAATTAAATGCATACTTATGTATATAAATGTGTTGTGTATGTGGTATATTATTGTACGTGTAAAGAATCTGATATAGTTGCCAATTGCAAATGTATATTTTTGCGTGAGTTAAATCCAGAAATGTGAATATTTAGGTCAATGTCTATTGTTCGTGTTTGGTTAAATACGAAAAGGAATTGAGAATACGTCATTTTCTCTTCCTATAATTTTGATCTAGTTACTGAAATTTCAATGTAATTTATCAATATAATTAAATTTAAGTGAGAATTGTTCTTATAAACATACATTGCTCACACACAATTACATACGCAAACACACATGAACATATATGTATTGGAACACAAGCACACAGTAACGTGTACACAAAAATGAAAATGAATATCACAATGAGAATCGAAAATAATCGTAACGTTTCGAACACTTCACGAGTTCCTCTTCAGACCAAACCGAAATGAATCACTTTCTTATATGTATTTGTATAAATATTCATATATGTGCATGTGTGTGTCAGATGAAGTGAAGGAGAGAACATGAAGTGTATTTGGTAAATTGCGATGGCCTTTGGTATAAACTTTTTTCTGTTTCCGTTTCAGATGAAAAGTGTCGTGAAGATATCTTCTTAGTATGGGCCTCCATCAACCAGTCCCTGAGTGATGGTGGCGAGTTATTGCTGAAGGCTCGTGAGATTCTGTTGGGATCTAATCTTGAGAGTCTTGGGGAGCTGGAAACGAGCCTTCTTACTGTTGGCGGAGAACTTGAAATCCTTTTCAATGAGACTTTGGAACTGGCCAAAGAAGTTGAAATGTTGGTGATGGGTGGGAGTGAGACAGCCCCCTGTCCTGTCCAATACCTGAAAGCGCTGCTACTTGAGCTGGAAACCAAAACTGAAGAATTCCGTGTCATTGTGATTGAACTGGAGGCGCATGTTTCAGAAGGTTCATCAGATGAATCTAGTGTGCTGGTGATCTTCATAATGCGAGTTTATATGACCTGTAGGACTGCGCAGGACGAGTCTATCGTAATCTTCGAAAAAGTCTACATTATGTTGTACGGTGAAATGACAACAGTAATAATGACCACTTTATCCGGAGGGACAAGTAAGTATCGTCCGGTCACCGTCTTCAGTTTGAAAATGTGTTCTCTTATATTGAGGCCATATGACACTAGCTCTTTTTTCCGTCAATTGTTGCGTATACATACATTCAGTTAATTTGGAAACACAAAAATTGACGGAAAAAGATCTGATAGGGCCTTTAGGCTTTGTCAAATGTACATTTTTGAATGGATATTAGCCAGAAAAATATTCAATATAAGAAAATGGAAATTATTTTATACAAGAAAATGAATTTGTATTGCTTTAATACAAGAACGAATCAAGAAAATATCCTTTTCATCTACCATTGACTTATTTTTTCCATTGCAAGTTCCACTATGGAGTATCAAAGAAAAAAAAATCTTATACATAATGCATATATGTATATATATATACAGTTTATATTTACCTATATATATTATACACACATCTATTTATATATACACACATACATACATATATTCAAGCATATATACACACACGCCCACTATATATATGGGCGTGCATGTGTGTTTTTGTATGTAAATACATATATACATATATACATATATATACACATATATACATATATATGCATATATATATATATATATATATATATATATATATATATATATATATATATATATGCAAATATATATATGCATATATACATACACACGTGTGTGTGTCAGATCGATAGAGAGAGAACATGGTGTATTTGGTAAATTGCAGTGACCTTTGATATAACATTTTATCCTGTTTCAGTTGCAGATGAAAAGTGTCGTGAAGACATCTTCTTAGTATGGGCCTCCATCAACCAGTCCCTGAGTGATGGTGGCGAGTTATTGCTGAAGGCTCGTGAGATTCTGTTGGGATCTAATCTTGAGAGTCTTGGGGAGCTGGAAACGAGCCTTCTTACTGTTGGCGGAGAACTTGAAATCCTTTTCAATGAGACTTTGGAACTGGCCAAAGAAGTTGAAATGTTGGTGATGGGTGGGAGTGAGACAGCCCCCTGTCCTGTCCAATACCTGAAAGCGCTGCTACTTGAGCTGGAAACCAAAACTGAAGAATTCCGTGTCATTGTGATTGAGCTGGAGGCGCAGGTTTCAGAAGGTTCATCAGATGAATCTAGTGTGCTGGTGATCTTCATAATGCGAGTTTATATGACCTGTAGGACTGCGCAGGACGAGTCTATCGTAATCTATGAAAGCGTCCTAATAATATTCAGCAGCACAATTTCAGGTGAGACATATAGCTTATCTGGAGATACAAGTATGTTATTGTTTTCTTTAAACTGAAGATTTACTATGAAACCTAGATTGACATGAATTGAATGAATATATATATATATGTATATGTATGTGTGTGTGATGTGTATATTATTGTACGTGTAAATAATCTGATATAGTTACCAATTGCAAATGTATATTATTGCGTGAGTTAAACCAAAAAAAAAAAATGAATATTTTGCTCATTGTAAATTGTTCGGTTTTGGTTAAATACGATAAGGAATTGAGAATACGTCATTTTCTCTTCATATAGTTTTGATCTAGTTACTAAAAATTTTATAATTTAATTAATATAATCAGATTTAAGGGAGAATTGTTCTTATAAACATATACAATGCTCACATATACATACACACGAACATATATGTATTTGAACACAAGCACACAGTAACGTGTACACAAAAATGAAAATGAATATAGCCACAATGAGAATGGAAAATAATCGTAACGTTTCAAACTCTTCACGAGTTCCTCTTCAGACCAAACCGAAATGAATCACTTCCATATGTATTTGTATTAATATTCATATATGTGCATGTGTGTGTGTCAGATGAAGTGGAGAGAACATGAAGTGTATTTGGTAAATTGCGATGGCCTTTGGTATAAACTTTTTTTTGCTGTTTCCGTTTCAGATGAAAAGTGTCGTGAAGATATCTTCTTAGTATGGGCCTCCATCAACCAGTCCCTGAGTGATGGTGGCGAGTTATTGCTGAAGGCTCGTGAGATTCTGTTGGGATCTAATCTTGAGAGTCTTGGGGAGCTGGAAACGAGCCTTCTTACTGTTGGCGGAGAACTTGAAATCCTTTTCAATGAGACTTTGGAACTGGCCAAAGAAGTTGAAATGTTGGTGATGGGTGGGAGTGAGACAGCCCCCTGTCCTGTCCAATACCTGAAAGCGCTGCTACTTGAGCTGGAAACCAAAACTGAAGAATTCCGTGTCATTGTGATTGAGCTGGAGGCGCAGGTTTCAGAAGGTTCATCAGATGAATCTAGTGTGCTGGTGATCTTCATAATGCGAGTTTATATGACCTGTAGGACTGCGCAGGACGAGTCTATCGTAATCTATGAAAGCGTCCTAATAATATTCAGCAGCACAATTTCAGGTGAGACATATAGCTTATCTGGAGATACAAGTATTTATTGTTTTCTCTAAACAAGATTTACTATGAAATATTGACATGAATTGAATGCATATGTGATGTGTATGTGGTATATTATTGTAAGTGTAAAGAATCTGATATAGTTACCAATTGCAAATGTATATTTTTGCGTGAGTTAAAGCAAAAAAATGTGAATATTTTGCTCAATGTATATTGTTCGGTTTTGGTTAAATACGATAAGGAATTGAGAATACGTCATTTTCTCTTCATATAGTTTTGATCTAGTTACTAAATAATTTTAATATAATTTTAAGGAGAATTGTTCTTATAAACATATACAATGCTCACATATACACACACGAAAATATATGTATTTGAACACAAGCACAAAGTAACGTGTACACAAAAATGAAAATGAATATAACCACAATGAGAATCGAAAATAATCGTAACGTTTCGAACACTTCACGAGTTCCTCTTCAGACCAAACCGAAATGAATCACTTCTGTATTTGTATAAATATTCATATATGTGCATGTGTTTGTCAGATGAAGTGAAGGAGAGAACATGAAGTGTATTTGGTAAATTGCGATGGCCTTTGGTATAAACTTTTTTTCCTGTTTCCGTTTCAGATGAAAAGTGTCGTGAAGATATCTTCTTAGTATGGGCCTCCATCAACCAGTCCCTGAGTGATGGTGGCGAGTTATTGCTGAAGGCTCGTGAGATTCTGTTGGGATCTAATCTTGAGAGTCTTGGGGAGCTGGAAACGAGCCTTCTTACTGTTGGCGGAGAACTTGAAATCCTTTTCAATGAGACTTTGGAACTGGCCAAACAAGTTGAAATGTTGGTGATGGGTGGGAGTGAGACAGCCCCCTGTCCTGTCCAATACCTGAAAGCGCTGCTACTTGAGCTGGAAACCAAAACTGAAGAATTCCGTGTCATTGTGATTGAGCTGGAGGCGCAGGTTTCAGAAGGTTCATCAGATGAATCTAGTGTGCTGGTGATCTTCATAATGCGAGTTTATATGACCTGTAGGACTGCGCAGGACGAGTCTATCGTAATCTATGAAAGCGTCCTAATAATATTCAGCAGCACAATTTCAGGTGAGACATATAGCTTATCTGGAGATACAAGTATATTTTATCGCTTTCTCTAAATTGAAGATTTACTATGAAATATAGATTGACATGAATTTTGTTTTTTATACTTCTGAATGTGTTATGTATGTGCTATATTATTGTACTTCTAAAGAATCTTATAGGTGCTAATTACAAATGTGTATTTTTGAATGAGTTTAATCATATAATGTAAATATTTTGCTCAGTATATATTGTTCGTGTTTGGTTAAATGCGATAAGGAATTAAGAAAACATTTCCTTTTCTATTTTTGATTTACTTATATATTTATTTAAATGGCCTTTAGGACTGTAGGACACTGAAAATTACAGTATAGAGTATTTATGGAAAAATGTACCTATATATATCCTATACACACATAAAGTTACTTATACATATTTTCATATATGTTTGTGTGTGTGCGTGTGTGTCAGATCTACTGAAAGGGAGAGAACATGACGTGTATTTGGTAAATTACGATGGGCTTTGATATAAACATTTTTTTCCTGTTTCCGTTTCAGATGAAAAGTGTCGTGAAGATATCTTCTTAGTATGGGCCTCCATCAACCAGTCCCTGAGTGATGGTGGCGAGTTATTGCTGAAGGCTCGTGAGATTCTGTTGGGATCTAATCTTGAGAGTCTTGGGGAGCTGGAAACGCCTTCTTACTGTTGGCGGAGAACTTGAAATCCTTTTCAATGAGACTTTGGAACTGGCCAAAGAAGTTGAAATGTTGGTGATGGGTGGGAGTGAGACAGCCCCCTGTCCTGTCCAATACCTGAAAGCGCTGCTACTTGAGCTGGAAACCAAAACTGAAGAATTCCGTGTCATTGTGATTGAGCTGGAGGCGCAGGTTTCAGAAGGTTCATCAGATGAATCTAGTGTGCTGGTGATCTTCATAATGCGAGTTTATATGACCTGTAGGACTGCGCAGGACGAGTCTATCGTAATCTATGAAAGCGTCCTAATAATATTCAGCAGCACAATTTCAGGTGAGACATATAGCTTATCTGGAGATACAAGTACATATTATTGTTCTCTAAACAGAACTATGAAACATATTGACATGAATTAATGCATACTTATTTAAAATGTGTTGTGTATGTGGTATAATTGTACGTGTAAAGAATCTGATATGTTGCAATTGCAAATATATTTTTGCGTGAGTTTAAGCCAGAAAATGTGAATATTTTCAGTGTATATTTTCGTGTTGGTTTACGATAAGGAATTAAAACGTCATTTTCTCTTCTATAATTTTAGTTGCTGAAACATTAATATAAGTGAGAATTGTTCTTATAAACATATAAATGCTCACGCATATATAATACGCGAACACACACAAACAAACATATGTATTTGAATAAGCACAAAGTAACGTGTACACAAAAATGAAAATGAACCACAATGAGAATTGAAAATAATCGTAACGTTTCGAACTCTTCACGAATTCCTCTTCAGACCAAACCGAAATGAATCACTCTTATATATTGTATAATATTCATATATGTGCATGTGTTTGTCAGATGAAGTGAAGGAGAGGATATGAAGTGTATTTGGTAAATTGCGATGGCCTTTGGTATAAACTTTTTTCCTGTTTCCGTTTCAGATGAAAAGTGTCGTGAAGATATCTTCTTAGTATGGGCCTCCATCAACCAGTCCCTGAGTGATGGTGGCGAGTTATTGCTGAAGGCTCGTGAGATTCTGTTGGGATCTAATCTTGAGAGTCTTGGGGAGCTGGAAACGAGCCTTCTTACTGTTGGCGGAGAACTTGAAATCCTTTTCAATGAGACTTTGGAACTGGCCAAACAAGTTGAAATGTTGGTGATGGGTGGGAGTGAGACAGCCCCCTGTCCTGTCCAATACCTGAAAGCGCTGCTACTTGAGCTGGAAACCAAAACTGAAGAATTCCGTGTCATTGTGATTGAGCTGGAGGCGCAGGTTTCAGAAGGTTCATCAGATGAATCTAGTGTGCTGGTGATCTTCATAATGCGAGTTTATGTGACCTGTAGGACTGCGCAGGACGAGTCTATCGTAATCTATGAAAGCGTCCTAATAATATTCAGCAGCACAATTTCAGGTGAGACATATAGCTTATCTGGAGATAGAAATATATGTTATTGTTTTCTCTAAATAGAAGATTTACTATGAAATATAGATTGACATGAATTTAACGTTTTTTATACTTCTGAATGTGTTATGTATGTGCTATATTATTGTACTTCAAAGAATCTTATATAGGTGCTAATTACAAATGTGTATTTTTTGAATGAGTTAAATCCAGAAAATGTAATATTTTGCAGTATATTGTTCGTGTTTGGTTAAATGCGATAAGGAATTAAGAAAACATTTCCTTTTCTATTTTTGATTTACTTATATATTTATTTAAATGGCCTTTAGGACTGTAGGACACTGAAAATTACAGTATAGAGTATTTATGGGAAAAATGTACTATATATATCCTATACACACATAAAGTTACTTATACATATTTTCATATATGTTTGTGTGTGTGCGTGTGTGTCAGATCTACTGAAAGGGAGAGAACATGAAGTGTATTTGGTAAATTACGATGGGCTTTGATATAAACATTTTTTCCTGTTTCCGTTTCAGATGAAAAGTGTCGTGAAGATATCTTCTTAGTATGGGCCTCCATCAACCAGTCCCTGAGTGATGGTGGCGAGTTATTGCTGAAGGCTCGTGAGATTCTGTTGGGATCTAATCTTGAGAGTCTTGGGGAGCTGGAAACGAGCCTTCTTACTGTTGGCGGAGAACTTGAAATCCTTTTCAATGAGACTTTGGAACTGGCCAAAGAAGTTGAAATGTTGGTGATGGGTGGGAGTGAGACAGCCC